CATATCCATCCAAAGGAGATCTTCCTACAGACTGACCATATCTCAGCAAGGTTTGTCTCTGCATGAACTGTGTTGTATGCATGCAGTGTACGATGAAAATGAGATATCAACATTGGTCAGGTCAACCCCTGCCTTCTTATCCTCAAGTGACAAGTGGCCCCATGCATTAAATGCTGAAGGTAGTATAAAAAGACAGTGTGCATCTCCCATGCACACACTTGGCTTTTGAAAGATTACTTAGTGCACTCTCAAAGCAATCGGCTATTCCTTTCTACTCCCTTGCTCTCCTGTGTGCGAAGAAATTCTTAGTGTTTTTCATTTCCTTTCAAGAACTCTCTGTGTTGTTCTTGAAAGTTCTTCTCTTTGTAAGATTGTTTAGGTTAGGTTTTCCTTTCCTATCTTCCGCAACAATCTTTTGTATTTCTGTGTGTATTAATTCTTGATATAAATCAATAAGAATTAAAAAGTTGAAAAAAGTCTGTGTAATTGTATTCAACCCCCCCTTCTACAATTACTTTCTGTTTATTGCCTTTCCCTTCAGGACTAACAACACAAAAATTCCATTAAGGGTTTGTCACCCACTCTTAAGGCATACACTAGATTAACTAGTATGATCTTAGTTAGTTATCAACAACTTGTTATTACCACATTGAACCTCTATCTAAGGGTGTGCTTAGAAAAAGGTTGGGTTTCCGTTCTTGTTGATTAATCAAACGGGTCTCAAGCCCGTTTTTCGACTTGTTCCATAAACCATATATTAAAAAGCCCTCTTATAAACGGGCCAACGAAATTATTACAAGACCTTACCTATGTTTATTACCGGTTTATCCCGTCAGATGTTCACATGTCTCAAACTAATGTTTAGGTTTCTATTATAAATCTTGTTATAAGCTCTAGACAAAGTTGTCTCACTATCATAATGCAAAGAAATGGTTGACATTGGTTGTGACCACAACTTTATATCTAACAGCATGTTCCTTCGTCATTATGCCTTTTTACGTGTCGCAGCTAAGGCTAAAAACTCAAACTCCCTGGTGGAATGAGTTTATACAAGTTCATTTCGTTGAGGCTCAAGCAACAACTCTAATACAAAGCATAAAAACCCAATGAATGGCGCATTTGTCATCACTATTACCAGTAATCAACTAGCATCCAAATATACTTCTAGAGCTGCAAAGCTAGCTTTTTAGTTCTTATCAAGTAACCAAAAACTCTTCCAATAGCTTCCTAATGTTCTAAGCTAGGATTACTAATAAACCTTAAAAGTTTGCAAAAAACATGGATAATATTTGGTCTAGTACAATGAGTAGTATACATTGGATACCGATTGCACTAGCATATTCAAGTTGAGCAACAACCCTTCCACAATTCTTACGAAGTTACTAAGTTTGCACTTCACAAGAAGCATCACATGGGCCATTTGCTTCTTTAAATTTTAAATGCTCAAATTTATTAAGCAACTTCTCAATATATTGAATTGCTTTATAGAATAACCTATACTATCTCTCTTAACTTTGATGCCCAAAATTGTATGTATCTTCCATTTGAAAACTTGAACTTAAATAACTCTTTGTTTCATTAATGGCTTTTATGTTCGTATCCAATTATTTACACGTCCTATATGGATAGAAAAGGAGATATGCGAGGTCCTTATAAGCTCAAAGTCGTGGGCTATCAATAACTTCCACTATGGTTGTAAGTTGATAAGGTTATTGGGCCAACATGTTGCTTTGGGCTATGGGGAGATACAAATGGTATGAGGGCCGATCCTTGTACCGTTGGAATGGGTGGGGCAAACTTCATTGAGCATGTTGGGGGGGGGGGTGTTTGTACATCTTAGGTGAATCCCACATCGTCAATGAACAAGGAGGATGCTGGGAAGGCTGACGAGGACGTTAGGAACTTAAGTGGTAGATTTGTAACAACCCATTCTACATGGATGGAAAAAGGAGATTTGTGAGCTTCTTATCACTCAAAGTTGTGGGCTATCGAGAACTTCTCCCATTTTTGTAGGTTGATTTGGAGGTTCTTAGGCCAACCTGCTACTTTGTGTTATGGAGCATTACTTAACATATCATCAACATAAAGATATACAATGATACTATAGTCCTTTGTAAACTATATATATATATATATATATATATATATATATATAATATGTTCAGTTATGTGTTGATATGGCATACTCAAATTTCTTGTGCCATTGCTTAGGCTGTTGTTTCAAACCATAGAAAGATTTGACTAACTTACAAACTTTCTTTTCATTGCCGGGAAGTATGTATCCTTCAGGTTGTTACATGTACATCTCTGCAACCAAATCACCACAAAAAAACTTGTCTATTTTTTTGATGTACATATAAATCATAAATTGAAGCTAAAGCCAAAAGTACTTTAATGGATATAAGTAAGTCGAGATACGGGTCCATTTGTATTATGTTTTACTTTAAATACGTAATTACATCCAATTGCCTTAGGACTAGGTTGCAAATCCGACAGGTCCCCAATTTTATTAGCTACTAATGTTTCTTTCTATAATCATTCCAAGAAGGTGGCAACTTGGCAATGTTTTCTTCAACTATCAATTTATTGGGAATAAATATCTTTAAATCCTTAAACTTAGAGATTAGGATTAATAATTCATGAACGTGATCCAAGATGAAAATGTTATCAGCCATAGAAAATTCAAAGAACTTTAAGTTAATGAACTTATCCGCTACTTGTTTGTCAATGTTATATTTGAAATCCAATGAGTTCCAGATTTCTTTGGTGGACTGAATTGGTATGTAGAGAGATCAGATAACCGATCAGACAGTAAAGTTAGTATGATCCCTTGCATAGTATTTTATCTTCCCCACTTTTCTTCCTTTCCGCAGCCCTCACGTATCTTTATCAGGCAAAGTTCTCAATTCAGATTTTAAAAGAGAAGCTGATGCCTGATGGGGTAGTGCAGGGGTTCTCCATCTCTTTGTGTCTATTCTCTTCGCTTATCTTGACACCCACAGTATTTTATATACATAGCCACAATCATCAATAGTACATGATCACATGACTATAAGATTACATCAGGGTGTAAATGCATTTTAGGTGCACCAGATTGGTTTGAATTTGGAGCATGATCATCATTGCATTGTTTCCATTGAAAATCTACATCTTGCTTTACATCAGAATGTACATTCATAGCAGACACATTTAAGATTGGTGAGTCTTGTTTAAAGTGATCTGAACTATTTCTCTGGTTATAACCTAATTAATATAATGTGATCGCCATTTTCTCAACAGAGCATTCATGCTAGTCTTTCAAGGATTCTGACTTCACCAGCATCTAGAGATACTGCTGTACGCAATTCATTCTCTGGTGTTGAATTCAAATACCTTTCAGCTTTAGTTGGATGCATACGAGGTAATTGAAGGTTTCACATAAAATCCTTATGTATTTGGTAGGCGTCTTTTAATTGTTGTATAGGATGATTGTTCTGCATTTTCTTTAAATCAGATTTCCATCTTTTTCAATTAATAATCTCCATTAAGATGTTTAATACCACTGTATCAGGCAAAGTACAACCTGTCAGATTCAAACTGGAATTTCTTATCATCTTGGTGCTTGAGCCTGTTTTCCAGCGGGATAGTTATTCACATGTACATTTAATTCATAATACTCATTTCCTGCAGAATATACCAGCAACTCAGCTTTACGTGGTGATGGCACTTTAAGCTTCTTGACAAGCAGATTCTTACTAAGGTAACTTCAGTTTCTTGGACCCTTGACCTCCAGGGAGGTTGGGCTCTACTGCTAACCTGGGTACCACCCAGCCAATAACCCTTTGGTTACTTCCAATTCTATGTGGTCACCTATGCCTTAAAATTCTGTAGGCGCTTTCATTCAAGCCCAGAACTACTGGCCAGGAGAGATAACGATACAGTTGGTCTACAAACACCTAAGAAAGGGAAGTTCAAGAAGAGACCTGTAAATGCAAAGCCACCAGTTGAAACTCCTTATGTGCCTCCTAAACTTCAAAAGACTGCCAAAACGTCCTCAGATAGAATGGTTGAAATATTTGAGGGCATGACAACTCTAGAGCTCGCTAAGCGCTGCGGTCAATCTGTAGCCACATTGCAGAATATTCTTGTAAATGTGGGGGAAAAAGTTGGGTCAGAATTTGACCCTTTGAGTATCGACATCGCAGAGCTAATTGCAATGGTATTTTCCCTGTTACAGCTAGTAAACCTTGTTACTTCTTCCTCTATGTTTGGTTTCTTTTCTGAGTTATTCTTCCTTTTTTAATCCATATGTTTTTTTTCCCTTGTTGGGTTGTCTCATTTCTGTTCTGGGTTCAAAACTACTCCCTGCATCCCAAAATAAGTCTCCACGGTATATATTTTAGTTTGTCCCAAAGTAAGTGTCCACTTTCGGAAGTAAGTGCCTACTATCCAATTCTACCCTTAGTTATGAGATTGAGAAATTCATTACTCCCTCTATTATTATGGGTACGATTGTCATTTAGTTAATTAAGAAGTGTAAAAGTTTAGTCTTTTAATTGAAACCCCAGAAAAAGAAAGACACTTTCTCTCATCTAGTTCAGTTCCTGGCTAAATTCAGTCTTCACTGTTGGATAGATAGATAAATTCTGTAAAGCAAAGAGAAGGCTTGAAATTAAAAAATCCATTTTAATTAAATCTATATGTACTCCAGTTTACTCGATGTCTCCCAATGGTGCAAGGCCTTTGACTTATTGAGAAAAAGATTTTTTTAAAAAGTGTGAATTTTTCATTGTCGACATTTATTTTGGGACGGAGGGAGTATGATATAAGATTACTATGTGTTGAGTATTTATTTTCAATCATTACAGGAAGTTGGGGTAAATGTTAAGAGGCTCTATTCATACGAAGGTTCTGTGGTTCTTCCCCGTGCTCCAGTTGTGACAGTCATGGGTCACGTTGACCATGGGAAAACTTCTCTTTTAGACGCTCTACGCCAAACCTCTGTGGCAGCCAAAGAAGCTGGTGGTATAACTCAACATCTCGGTGCTTTCGTGGTTAGTATGCCGTCAGGTTCATCCATAACCTTCCTCGACACTCCTGGCCATGCGGCTTTTAGTGCGATGAGAGCTAGAGGTGCCGCTGTCACGGATATAGTCGTGCTAGTGGTGGCTGCTGATGATGGTGTAATGCCACAAACCATTGAAGCCATGTCACATGCAAGGGCAGCCGATGTGCCCATAGTGGTTGCCATCAATAAATGTGATAAACCTGCATCGGACCCCGAAAGGGTCAAAGTCCAACTAGCTTCAGAAGGCTTGCCACTTGAGGAAATGGGCGGTGATGTGCAGGTGGTTGAAGTATCTGCCGTTACTAAAAAGGGGCTCGATAAGTTGGAGGAGGCATTGCTTCTTCAGGCGGAACTAATGGACCTTAAGGCTCGTGTGGATGGAGCTGCTCAAGCTTACGTGGTTGAAGCGAGACTTGACAGAGGGCGGGGCCCATTAGCTACTGCGTTAGTGAAAGCAGGGACTTTAGTTTGTGGGCAACATGTTGCTGTGGGTGCCGAGTGGGGAAAAATAAGGGCAATAAGGGATACGGCCGGGGTGCTGACAAACCGAGCCACACCTGCCATGCCTGTGGAGATTGAAGGGCTCAAAGGGCTGCCAATGGCCGGTGATGATATTACTGTTGTGGATTCCGAGGAGAGAGCGAGGATGCTCAGTGCCGGAAGGAAGAAGAAATTGGAAAAGGACCGGCTTAATAAGATGAATGAAGAGAAGATTTCTGCTCCCGAACCATCTGAAGAGGAGTTTGTGAGGGTTGAATTGCCAATCATAGTAAAAGCGGATGTTCAAGGAACGGTACAAGCTGTCACCGATTCACTTAAAACCTTGAATAGTCCCCAGGTATGTCAAGTCTTTGTGATTCATGCCTTCATGCTTAGCCTAATACACTACACCTAAATCGGCTTTATAGGGTTCTGAATATATCTTATGTCCTAACAAACTACTTTATAGGATCAAAATCGGCTTTATAGGGTGCTGAATATGTCTAATGCCCTATGTAAATGTGTTACATTAAGTTGATAGGATGCTTTAGGGCGTCGAAACAAGTTTCTTTAGGACACTTTTAAAATAAAGCGTCCGATTAGTCTTTTCATTTACATTGTTTGAAAAAGTGTCTCGTATAAATAAATGTGCGTAGGACCCTTCTCAAAAGTGTTCTATAAAAAATTAATTATCACACTTTATTTGAAAGATGTTCTAAAAAACCTGTTAGGATGCTCAAATACGTCCTAACATTCCATTGTAATGCCTTTTTATATAAGACGCACAATTGTTTGGTTCTATAAATCTGTCCTATAAAATAGTCTATTAGGACATATTTGGCGTCCTATAAAACCGATTTTGTTGTAGTGATATTTATGGAGATTGAAGACTAATTCTTTTAGATTTTTAATAATCTTCTCTTTTTTTGCGCATATAACATGCAAGCCCCTAATTTTGAGAGGTTAGAGGCCGTTTAACCAGACTCTTGCCGGGTAATTGCTAACTGGGTGTCACTTACCTTACCGGTGAGCATATCAAGGACCGAAAATTTTACCGGGTAAGAGGCATAGCAAGGATCAAGACTCTTTCCCGGTAAGTGAGGGAGATGACTCTTACCCGGTAAGCGCTTACCGGGTAAAAGGCGCTTACCGCAATCCATTTTGATGTCGAGAATGTTACTCAATAAGATAAGTGAGGATGATGACTCGTACCGATAAGCACTTACCCGGTCAACAATTACCCGGTAAGCGTTTGGTAAAAGTCCATTTAGTAACTAAGATGTTCTGGTCGTCACCGGAAGCTATCTAATCTGTTTATATGTGATGTAAATCAAATGAATATATCTTCATCTTTACACAATTTACCTCAAACTCACCATATACACTCTTATCAGGTTTTTGTGAATGTTATCCATGTTGGAGTTGGAGCAATTTGTCAGTCTGATCTTGATTTGGCACAAGCTACTGGTGCATGTATTGTTGGATTTAATGTTCGTACTCCACCTACCTCCGTCTGTTTGGCTGCCGCTCAAGCCAATATAAAGGTATGTACCCTTGGTGAACTGATTTGTGATATATTTTCAATTCTATGAAGGGTGTCTTTGGTATGCGGGACAAAACGGGACAGCACATAAAAAAATTTGTGGTCCCATGTTCGGCGTTACATTAGATTGGGATAGTACGGGATTGAGTGGGACAAAAATGCATTTTTTCCCCACCAAAGTAGGTGGAAAAAAATCACGGAGATGGGACAAAATTTGGTGGATTGCTGAAATACCCATGTTAAATTAAAAACCCTAAAACCTTCCATAATTCTTTCAATAAACAAGTGATCCGATGCCAATCTTGTATGAGGCCAACTCCTTTGCATAAAACCGATTGTGAGTCCTATGATATAGGCACCTCTCAATCTTCTTGTTTAGCAAGGGTATTTACGGAAACAACCTTTTTACCCTGCATACATCATACCCTCCCCAGACCCTTTCGCGTGGGATTCTTTGGTTTAGTAATTTTGTTTCTTTTTTTTGGGCACCCTCTTTTGATGGAAAATGACATCTAGATCTTGTTGTAGATCAAAGTGCATAAAGTGATCTACCACCTTTTGGAAGACATCGGCAACTTCATAGTGGAAAAAGCCCCCGGAACATTCGAAACCGAGGTAGCTGGTGAGGCACAGGTGCTCAACATCTTTGAGCTCAAAGGAAGAAGCAAAGCCAAAGGAGCAGACGTCAAGATTGCCGGTTGCAGAGTCATGGACGGCCAGGTCATCAGGTCATCCACCATGAGGCTCTTGAGAAGCGGTGAAGTTGTGTTTGAAGGGTGTTGCGTCTCATTGAAGAGAGAAACTCAAGATGTCGAAACCGTCCAGAAAGGGAACGAGTGCGGCCTCGTCCTTCGTGATTGTTTCGATTTCCAGATTGGAGATGTTATACAATGCTTGCATCAAGTTAACAAGAAACCAAAATTTATCTCTTCAGAGAGTGGTGCGGTTCGTATCGAATGTTAGTCGATAAATCGGTCTTTTAAAGAAAATTTCCATGAAGAAACTGGGCAGGTTCTGAACTGGAACCTGTTAGAATTTTGTGATTCATTGAGTCCTTATTTATGGATTTGTTGTAAACTTGGAGGGATAGTTAAAGATAGAGAAAGTCAACCATTTATATGTTGGTCAATCTACTATACACCAACTGTAACCATATAATTGGGAAATACCTGCCAAATTCCATTTTTAACCTTACAGTTAATCTATAGCAATGGGTGCATATAGCACAGTCTGTGACTACGTTTTTCCGTATATCGTGGTTCGCAGTCCTTGGAGAAATTGTTGAGTTTGATGTCGGGTTTCGTATTCGATGTTTCTTTACGACTTTGAAGTTGTTGGACTTGTATCTTTTTTTCTGTTAGGGCATCGTCTTTCTCCCCGGTGGCGGTAACTGATGACTTGACAAAACTTTCGGGGATTTCACTTGGAAAAGAAAACCTTCCATATCGATTGGTAGGTTAGAATCTTACTTGAGAAGAACGCGTCAAAGTCTGCATTGAAACCCTGGGCGAGCGGGTCTGTGAAACTCACTAGGATAAGCCTGAAATAACCCATTTTAATCGTTTTTTGGGAAGACTCGTGTAATGTATACATCAGGTAGAAGTCATGTCTCAAGTTTTGAAAAAACTCGACGCAAGCTTCGCTCACAGGTTATCGTAGGATGAAACTTATCTATACTATATTATAAAGCATTTGATAAAAAAAACTTTTAAAAACCATTTTTTATGCATGAAGTACTGTCTATTAATGCATATTACTTAAATTTTCAAGATTACAAGTAAATTGTACGTAAACACAACTTATTAAAGCTCCATATCTGAATTCGTGTAACTAACTACAGATAAACATAATCAAATATTGGATAAACATCCTATTTTAAATTTAAAAAATCTAAAATATAATTAGGATAATCATTGAGTTCTAACAGAATACTTAGTTGTTATCTTTATAAAAAAAATTATATCATTAAACCTAAATTAAATTTCTTTGTTACTAAACCTAAATTAACTTATAATTAAAAAAAATTGATTAAGAAAATTACATCAAAACACAAGAACTTTTAAAAAGATTAATTTGATACTGATATCGATATATATTTTTCTTTAAAATTTTATGATCTTTTCAAATTTATATTTTATTAAAAAATAAATACATTATCATTTTCTCAAAACCACATAAAACCGTATTATATCGACATAAAAAAGGAAAAAAACGAAACAAATATGTCTCGATACATTGCACGAGTACCCTTCTAGTAATTTTATATATATAATTGATGTTAGAATTACTAAAAATTTTATTTTAATGATTTTTAATTTTAATTATAGGAGATGCTCTATTCTCTTATCATTCATGATCCAACTCTTAGGGGGTGTTTAGATTTTGACCACTATAACTACTTCTAGTTATTAGATTAGCTTTGAACGTGATTTACGGAGTTGGTGAAATGACCTACTTGCTAAATATAAATTAAACTAGGGGCCAAAATTGACAATTATGTAATCTCCAGGGGCTGATTGACGGTATATAGCAACACAAATTATCCAAGAAGAAGGTAGCGACACAACCTTTCGTGGGTTGTGCAGCCAAACAACGTTTCACTCCCTCGACGAGTCCGTCACCAACCCCCTGTAATCTCCATTTATAAACCTCTCTCTGCTTCCAAATCCCTAATCTTGATTCATTTCTTTCATCTCCAAAAACCCCTCGTAATTCTCTCCCAAAACCCCTTCAATTTCTCTCCAAAACCCATCAATGGAGGCCGCTTCTCTCTCCCGCATCGGCCTCGCCGGACTTGCCGTCATGGGCCAAAACCTAGCTCTCAACATCGCCGAGAAGGGGTTTCCGATCTCCGTCTACAATCGCACAACCTCAAAAGTCGACGAGACTCTAGATCGAGCTCATACCGAAGGCCAACTCCCGTTAACTGGCCACTACACCCCTCGTGATTTCGTTCTCTCAATCCAGAAGCCCCGATCTGTCATTATCCTCGTGAAGGCAGGTGCGCCGGTGGACCAGACGATTGCGGCCTTGGCGGCTCACATGGAACCCGGAGACACCATAATCGACGGCGGGAACGAATGGTACGAGAACACCGAGCGACGAATGGTGGAAGCGTCTGAGAAAGGATTGCTTTATCTCGGAATGGGAGTCTCCGGCGGTGAAGAAGGCGCACGGAACGGACCATCCATGATGCCAGGTGGGTCTTATGAAGCTTATAGTAATATCAAAGAAATTGTTGAGAAAGTTGCTGCACAGGTTGAAGATGGGCCTTGTGTTACATATATTGGGGAAGGTGGATCTGGTAATTTTGTTAAAATGGTTCATAATGGGATTGAATACGGTGATATGCAATTGATTTCTGAAGCTTATGATGTTTTGAAAAATGTTGGTGGGTTGAGTAATGATGAGTTGGCTGAGATTTTTGATGAGTGGAATAAAGGGGAATTAGAGAGTTTCTTGATTGAGATAACTGCTGATATCTTCAAGGTTAAAGATGAACATGGTGATGGTGAATTAGTAGACAAGATTTTGGATAAAACTGGTATGAAAGGGACTGGTAAATGGACAGTTCAGCAGGCTGCTGAGCTCTCTGTTGCGGCTCCCACCATTGCCGCCAGTCTGGATTGTCGGTTTTTGAGTGGTTTAAAGGATGAGAGGGTGGCTGCCGCCGAAGTTCTGGCGGCTGCAGGGATGAAGGAGGAGGTGGGAACCATCAGGAGTGGGATTGATAAGAAGAGGTTGATTGATGATGTGAGGCAAGCATTATATGCTTCCAAGATTTGTAGTTATGCACAAGGGATGAACTTGTTGAGAGCAAAGAGTGTAGAGAAGAATTGGAACTTGAATTTTGGTGAATTGGCTAGGATTTGGAAAGGAGGGTGTATTATTAGAGCTGTGTTTTTAGATAGGATCAAGAAAGCATACCAGCGAAACCCTAATCTTGCAAGCTTGGTGGTGGACCCTGATTTCGCCAAGGAGATGGTTCAGCGGCAGGCAGCATGGAGAAGGGTGGTGGGACTGGCGGTCTCTGCTGGAATTAGTACACCAGGAATGTGTGCTAGTCTTTCTTATTTCGACACCTATAGACGGGCTAGGCTGCCTGCAAATCTTGTTCAAGCTCAAAGGGATTTATTTGGGGCTCATACCTATGAGAGGGTTGATCGTGCTGGTTCTTTTCATACAGAATGGACAAAGCTTGCTAGAAAGAATGCTTGAATCATTCAAAAGATGGTAACTCTTTCACATTATTGATGAACTTGCTTGCTGATATCTACTGTTTTGGTTGATTTCTGTATTGTATTCCTTAATGAGGATTCTCTCTAATTCGGCATAGCAATTGTTGTAGAATTTTCTTTGCATCATTAATAAGTTATGCATGCCATTGAAGCATAATTCATGTTTTTACAAACCAAACGATCCTCATATATCCCATTCCGAGAGTGAGATGTATATAGACATGGCCTATATATATCACGCGGAGGTGAGGTCTGGTGTGAGTTGTAAGTAGATCTGACCTATATTATCCTACTCAGAGGTGGGTCTGAGAGTGAGATGTACGTAGAGTTAGCCTATGCTAGAGATGTACGTAGAGTTAGCCTATGCTATCCCACTTAGAGGTGAGGTTTGGGAGGGAGATGTACATAGATCTGGCATATATTATTCTACTTGGAGGTGGGCTGAGAGTGATATGTATGCAAACCTGGCCTATATCATCCTACTCGGAGGTGAGGTTTGGGAGTGAGATGCACACAGACCTGACCCATATTATCCTATTCGGAAGTGGGATTTGTGAGTGAGATGTATGCAGACCTAGCCTATATTATCCTACTCCGATGTGGGGATCTTGTTTCCTTGAATGTATCTTTTTGATGATTCACTATACTTTGATCGAGTAAGTTTCAACCGCCTAGACAAGTAGCATCTGTAATTATATTGAATCATAGATGAATGATTTAATGTTATTTAGAGAACCCAAAGTTCCATTGTTGCTTGTTCTTTGGGGTTGTTTGAGTCGATAATTATATACATGATTATTATCGTAGGGTTTTGTTAATTAAACATCATGAATTCGTTAGTAGTATGGATGGTGTATCGCACTGTGGTCGCTAGTTTGAGTTTCTTGAAGATCTTTGAATTTTTTGGCTGTTATCTTTAGTGTTCCATGAAATTTGTCGAGTTAGCTAGTTCTAGAAGTCACGTAGGAGGAAATGGTTTAGAGAGGTTGTATACGCCAAATCCATGAGTAACGGAGAGCTATGGTTATCATATTAATGAGAAAAGAACTAGAGATAACGTTGAAAAATAAAACCAAAGAACCCATCCAAACCGTTGATTGAGATGATCCAACGAAACCATTTTCTAAATAAAAATTTCTCCCCTTGTTTTTTATATCGAAAATTGGAGCAAAACAAATTACACCAAAAAACGATCACTTCATTATTTTTAATTTAGCGTCCATTTTGATGTATTTTTTTCATCTGTTTTTTCGTTACTCTTCGATTTTTTTTATGGATTCTCTCATGATCTCACCTCTTATTTTGATTCCCTCTCATACCCTTCCAAGTCCAAAGAAATTTGGAGAGTTTGAGCAACTTATTTAACATCTTATCATTGATATATCAATCAGGAAACAATGAAGAACTTTGTCCTTGGTTATTCATATAGGCCTCATTTACCAACCTCTTACCCAACAAGAGGCTCTTACCATAGTAATAGATTGTTTGTTTACCTCTTAATAGTTTCATTAAGTGGCAGACTCTAAATTATTAAGAGGGGAATCTTGTTTGACAAAAAAAAGTATGTCTGGTTCTAAAATCCTCTGAATGGTTTTGTATCATGGGTCTCTCTTAATCATTAAGCACCCTAATTTCATTATAAACAATTATATTTTATTTTTCACTATATCATGAGAGCCTCTTAATCATTCTGATCACTTAATCATTCTACACCAAATCATTCAGCAACTGCCAAACAGTCCCTTAAGATGTGTGTTCTTTACCAACATAAAATTATGTGTTACTGCTGACGGCACATATGATCCGATCTATGCTTACCACGGTATGTGCTTCTTTTTTCTTATATACCCATCCGACCATCCCTTATTTTCGTCACTTTCTTTCCACAAGTCACCAAACTTGTAGAACCCTTTCTTTTCCCAGCTTTAGAGTTCAGGCTCATCTCCCAACTTTATTAAACCCCTTTCGGCTGGAAAGGGTGGACAATTAGCTAGAGCAGCGGGTGCTGTAGCGAAACTGATTGCAAAAGAAGGGAAATCGGCCACATTAAAATTACCTTCTGGGGAGGBCCGTTTGATWTMCAAAAACTRCTCAGCAACAGTYGGACAAGTGGGGAATGTTGGGGTGAACCAGAAAAGTTTGGGTAGAGCCGGATCTAAGCGTTGGCTAGGTAAGCGCTCTGTAGTAAGAGGAGTAGTTATGAACCCTGTAGACCATCCACATGGGGGTGGTGAAGGAAGGGCCCTTTTATGACCTTTCGAATGGGGTTCCGACAACTGGGTTTACACTCGACAAAAGGCGCGATCCACCCATGTTAGCAACCACCTTCAGACAATAGGACCTCATAATCATCTACGTAGATCATCAATTCATCGAACCCGTAGTTAAAGCATTCAAGCTACAATCGCCAGAAAACCTAACACCATCGCCCTAGTTTCCATCGGTTGGAAAGAACATTCTTAATGACGTTAACCACCTTTCTTTTAGGAAAATCCGATTTCAAGATCGTACACCCTAACTGATGATATGGGAGAGCTCTACCTGATAAAAAGAAATAATGTTATAGAATATCTGGTAAAAGAAGGATATAATCGTCATGTTTACTCAGTCAAGTTTAATAGAAAACATTAATTAAACAACAATTTTTAATCATCACTTATTTGAATCAGACCTCTTATCACAATCAAATTTTTTTACATCAGTCTAACAGTTAATGCAAAAAATTTAGTAAACATCCTTAAATGTTATTATAGTCTTGAAAACTTGAAGAACAAGTCTTGTGTTATCTTTAAACACTTAGGAATAAAGTTGAGTGGAGACATAGGGTTGCTTCATGTTAAATCATGTATGAATGTGTTGAGATAATGGTAGACATTTACATATAAAAATAGGATTATTAGACTCTAAAAAGGGTACACAAAAAGCAAAAATCAACAAATTAGGGTTATAAATCCTCAAAAGAGACCCCATAATAATAATAAATGTAGTATAGGTTAATTCTTGGCATATTTAGGTTCATATAAAATACTATTAAGAGGTAAACAAACAACTTTTTAGAGGTTGCTTCTTAATGAAACTATTAAGAGGTAAACAAACAACCCATTAAAGTTGTGCATATCATAACATATGACATAGTCATCAGGAATATGAGCATGCTATTTATTATGAATATTGTAACATATTCATCAATAATATGTGATTCATGATAAATAACACGTACATAATATATTCATATTCATCATGAATATTGTGTGATTCATGATGAATAATATTTTCATATTCATCAGAAATGTGTTACCCATGATAAATATTCATCTTGAGGTGATACATCTGACTCGTTGTAGACGATTCTCGGATTCCTAATCAATTTTGGGTTTCTCATAGAACTTTCCTCTATATTTATATTTTGAGTTTCTGTTCTAAAATCTCTTAATTTTTTAAAGGAAAAAATCTAAAGAGTCTGATGTTTGTTCACATTTTAAGTGATTAAATCCCTCAACTTTTTTTTTTTCGAATAAACAAATTCGTAAACTTACACCGAAAAAAACCCAACGAAGTTCCATATTTCGAATAATTAAGTCTTTTGGACCTTTTTTTGAATGAACAGTTCACATATTTTTTTTTTGTAAGGGTGTCCGGGCCAAAGCCCGACTAATCCCCAGCAAATTTGGAGGTTAAACATGGCCCCACTTAAATGTCGCCAACACTCCCCTCCCAGGACTCGAACTCGGGTTCATAACTATGTCATGCCCAAGCCTTTACCACTAGGCTGAAAGGTTTTTGACTCACATATCATTTCTTCATCAATGTATCAATAAATCTTTAACAAAACACAATAAACCAATAAAAAGGAATGATTTCATATAATTTTGATTATCCATTATTTAATTTTCATATTCGAATGAGAATCATAAATAAAAGTCAATAAAAATGGTGTCTATTATTTCGCTTTATTAGTTCGTTGTACTTTACTATTGATTTGTTGATATATAGAAAGAGATATGATATATTTTTTCTCGTTTTATAAATGTAAGGATATATTCTTTTAATAACTTAATCATTCAAAATATGAACGTTTTGTGGAGTTTTTTATTTTAATTTTAGTAAATTTAAAAATCATTTACTTAATTTCAGTGAATCTGAAAGTTTGTTCTTAACGTAAAATCTTTTCATGTTTCATGCTTTTATCAAAATAAATTTTATATTAGGTTTTAAATCGTATAACAATATCTAATTTACAAATTGCAAGAAAAAAATTATTCATTTATTTGTTGAAGATGTATTTGGATTTTTAGCTGGTAGTAAATTACTACCCGACTCAAAATAAATGTCTATTTATACTATATTATAAAAATTTGACAAAAACTCTTAAAAAATATTTTTTTTATGCATGAAGTACTGTTTATTGATACATATTACTTAAAATTCAAGATTACAATTAATTTTACATAAGTACAACTTATTAAAGCTCTGTTTTAAATTTGTGTAACTAACTGCAGATAAACATAATCAAATACAAGATAAAGTTATAAACATTCATTTTAAATATAAAAAAAATCTAAAATATAATTAAAATAATCAACGAGTTCTAACAAAATTTTAATTATTATCTTTATTAAAAGTTATATTATTAAACTAAAAGTAAATTAYTTTGTTATTAAATCTAAATTAAATTATAATAAAAAWTTTAATTAAAAAAGTTACATAAAAAAACGAGAACTATTAAATAATTAATTTGATACTAATATCGATTTTATTTTTTTTTTCAAAATTTTATGTTATCTTCAAATTTATATTTCATTCAAAAATAAAAACATTATCACTTTCTCAAAATCATATAAAATCATATTATATCAATAGAGACAAAATAAATATTAAATATCAAAATGAAGATTTATCTCGTTGCATTACGCGAAAATTCTTCTAGTAATAAAAAAAACATAAAGTCTTAGAAAAAATGTGACTATTACACTTTTTAATCAATAAATGAATAATTTTACCTTTAATTAAGATGAAAGATTTTCTTCATCATCTCATAATTAATTGAAAAAAATAAGAAAATAGATGTTTATTTATTTAAAACAAATTAAAATAATAATAATAATAATATAAATATTTATTTGGAGTTATTTATTTTGTTAATATTTTTATTGATTTGAATTTGAAATTT